TTAGTTTTCTAGGCTAGTAAAAAATAAAATTTAAGAGTTTAGTATTAATAACAGTAATAAAAATAATAACGTTTAAAATCATTAAATATTAAAAAATTAGTTGCTTTTGTCTGAAAAGTTTTCGCAAGAAAAAAAAACAAGAAAAAAGTTTACATTCAATTATTTTTCAGACAATAAAAAAAGTTTTAAAATTTATAATTATAACAATTAAAACTGAGTTTTCAGTGCTAATATCTCAAATTAATACAATGACCGAGATATAGAAGATAAATTATTACTGTCATTGTGATGATTTAAAAAAAAACTAACATATTTTTGTTACAAAAATTTAGGTCAATGACACATTAAGGTCTTAGAAGAGTGTATTTTGAAGGGTTTGCTTGCTCGAAGCCTTGAGCAAATGGGAATGAAGATAATTATGCTTAGAATTATATAATTAAAATAGATGAATTTTTAATGAAATTTTAGGCTCTTAGAACTTAAAAGTGAAAAAAAATTGCTACCGTTTGTAGACTGCTATTTTAACTAACTTCGTAAAATGAAGATAGATAAGTATTACAATTACTATTAATTATATTAGTAAGTCATCTTCTTTATTAGTGATCAGCTTAAAGTTAGCTATTCATTTTCGGTGCCTTATAATTGAGAAATTTCTACAAATATAGAATTATGAGAGAGTTTAAAATATTTTGCTCAAAAACCGTTTTCTTCAAAATAAATTTTAAATGTATTCAATATATAATTTTTTTATGGCAAGCTGTTGAAGTCTTGCATCATTGATAATTACAAAAAAATATGAATTCTGAAAGAAATTGCTTAACGTTAAACATCAATAAGGTGCTAATTTGCTCTAACCTTAATAGGGTTTTAAATTGAAACTTGCTTATGTTCAAGTTGAATTACACTGTGAGAAATTAAGAGAATTTGCAGACTTGGTCGATTATCTCTAAAACTACTGATCGATTTTAAGGAAATTTTATATGTACAATACAAAACAAATAACCATTCAACAATTGTAATACACACGCATGATCGTGCGTAACACTCATTGGAGTCGGAAGGTATGAAATTGTCACAGGACAATACAGGCCAATTTCCACAGGAAAGGATAAACTGCCTTATTTCAATTATGATATCACGCTGCAAGACCTGTATATCTGTAAGAGGGAACCTTACCCCCAATTAAGCCTTTTTTTTTTGTTTATTGTGCAACCGCTGTTTCATACCTTCCGAATCGAACGACTGTTAAGCACGATCATGCGTGTGTATTACAATTGTTGAATGCTTATTTGTTTTCTATTGTATCAATGTATGTGCATACCAAATTTTATTAAAATCGGTCCAGTAGTTCTAGAGATAATCGACCAAGTCTACAAATTCTCTTAATTTCTTGCACCAGTGTAGCTTTCTCAACAGCAAATTAAAATTATTTCAAAATTAAAACTACTTAATATTACGTTACTCCACGTTATGAATAAAAAAAATAATAGAAAATACAATTATGCAAGCAAATTTAAAAGAATATTAGACTTTTTCTTATGTTTGAAAACATATTAAGATATGTTTTGAAGTAAATATTTAAATACAAAACTCTTTGTTTCCATGCTTTAGATATAATATTCTTGTGATCTTCGAAACTAATAATGAATATTACTTAAGTATATATTTGTATAAAGAAATAAATTTAAAAAAAACTTTTACTTAAACTAGGAAAGTAGATCAACTATAATAAAATTTTGATTTGTTAATTTTTTATTGAAACTAGAAATAGAATTAAAGTAAAGTAAAGCAGCAAAAAATTTTAATTTCAAAATAAAATTTTTTATTTTCACTTTATTTAATTATCTCTGTGAAATATTTTGATAACTCATACCTTTATTTAAGCAAATTCTATAACTATTCATGCTTGTGTATAACAATTATTGAATAGTTATTTGTTTTTTCAATATTATCAATTTATTCAATGTCTGTACATATCAATGTACATTGTTATCATTGTATGTACAAATCAATGCATGTACATTGTTATTAACATATGTACCCATCAAATTTCATTAAAATCGGTCGAGTAGTTCTAGAGATAGTCGACCAAGTCTGCAAATTCTCTTAATTTCTTACACCAGTGTATTATAGTGTGTTATAAAATTTAAAAAGTGTAAGTAATAATAAAATTCAACTTAGCACCATAAAAAGTTTGCGGCAAAATTAAATGATATTCTTTTGTATGTATTCTTTTGTGTTAAGTAATATATTAGTGACGTACAAAGAAGATTTTGTTACGGGAATCCACATATTTTATCCATTGTATATATTTTATATTGTAAAATTATTTTACATTTTTATTTTTATAAAGAAAATAATCCGTAAATATGTAAAGTTATCAACTGAAATTTAAAAAAATTTTTTTTTTTAAATATAACTCAGTTAGTATTTTTAAATGACTCTTAAGTCATATGGAATAGTAAGAGTCATATGGAGTAGATAGCCCAATATGAACTATCTACCCCATGCCTTCTTTGTTTAAAAAATCATTTTGTGAATAAATTCGTATAAACAAAGATTGCCACAAAGTCTCGTTTTTCATTAAAAAAATTTCAATTAAATCATATTCAAATTTTAAAAAATGGTAGAAAAGCAGCACTTCCTCTTCCTTAATTTTTAAAACGTCTTAAGAAAATGAATTGTTTCCGACGACGGAGGGTTTCAGTTTATTAGGTCGAGTCGCGCGACTAAAAACCACTGTCACGTTCACTGCGTGCTACACCAGTAATCTAATTGAAAGGCAAAATGCCAGCTACCAAGCATAGTTCGGCTATTTTAGTCTACCTTCGTTCAAAGCTTTCGTTTCCTGACTCTTTCAATGCTTTCACGAAAATTTATTTATCAACCTTTATTTTTCAGATACTAGTCCAAATAGTTTTAAGTGAAACATAAAGTAATTATATATACCGCTTTAACACAACAAAGCTAATGGTTGCCTTACCCATTTTAATGATTACAATGACAACAATTATGGGAATATATAGATGTTTAGGAATCTCGGCCATTTTTGAAACAGGGTCAACTTTAGTGAGAAAGCGGGGCTGGGAGAGGGTATTTTGCCTTGGGATTCTGTTTCAGATCTGGGTCTTAAAATTGTGCCCCTTCAAGCTTTTTGTTGTGATTATTTTTTCATTGATGAATTGACTGGCAGACCTGGTTACTATGAATCCTCGAGCGAAAATTGAAAATTGCTGTTGACTTGTTACCGAGGTTCTTACTACTTGAATTTGAAATCATTTTTTCAGTTAATATCGTGATTCATTAATTATTCATTTTTAAACAAGTATTTTGAAATAAGTGACATATTAATCAGAAATGTTTAGTTTTAATACGTTATGAATTCATCTTAAATCTAACATTTGGCAGAACAGGTGAACCGGTTGGAATTGCAGTGGCCAATTTACACTTGACCTAAATAGAAGATCAAAGTTCAAATGAAAGACAAGTCATAAATTTAAACCTCTAAAATATAATTACGTGGAATGCAGAATAAAAGATGGACTGATAAAGGCGTGTTTCATTATTTCATTATGTGTACAATTTTTTTTTATTCAGTTTTTGCTCGTAGAAAGTTTATTGGCCTTCTACTTACTCAAGTTCAATCTGTATTTCATTCACACAAAGTGAAATATAAATTTTTGAGAAATAACTTTCAGAAATGCTTTTAGAATTATTTTATACAAGTAATGCAAGTTTATCAAAGCATATTAATATTAATGAACCGAGTTCCACTGAATACAAATTCCAAGTTGCTAAAAGTGTAATTTAATTTATGGTTGCTCAAATATATTTCTTATAAAAATTTGATATATTTTGTATATAATTACTGTTTTCTTTCTCTTTTTTTTAAAAAAAAACTAATTTTTAACTATCTTTAAAAACTCCAATTTAAAAACAACGAAACCAAATTTCAAATTTATCTTAGAGATTACGATAACTTTATATAAATTAGTAAGTTAGCAAGAATAGTAGTTAATGTATAGGGTTAGTAGTAATGTAATTAATAGTAATAGGGTTAATAGCATGGCAATTACTCTTGTAATTGGGTGTATTAACGATAATTAAATCTAAAATTTACATTTTTCACACAGTTGGGAATAATTTGAAATTATCATTAAAATCTTCGTGTATAAAAAAAATGGCATATCAATGTAATTTAAAAGATTAGTAAAAAAATTTAACAAGTTAAATTCTGAAAGGGCACAAAATATTGGGTTTAAAACATGTTGTGGTGAGTTGTATAAATAGAACTTTTTTTTCTGTCTGGTTATTAAATAAAACGCTTTTTAATACGAAATTGTGTTTCATGAACAGCTTTCTGAAGTTGCTATATTTTCCAAAGCTATTATATTTAAACTTTCGAAAATTTCCTCTGTACTTTTTTACGCTAAACATTTCAGTTACATTCCATTTGCCACAAATAATCACTTTATACATTCTATACTATAAACACGTGAGACTTTGAGTTTCACTCTATAGTTTTTATTCCTCTTTTGAATTGCACGTGAAGTCACTCAGACTGTCTGAGCTTAAACATTTAAATCTTATTAAATGTTTTTGGTACAGTTCCTTTTTTAAATAAAAAAGGGAAGATTATTTTAAGTTCCACCATAACATTAATTTTTATTCATTTGAATAAACCACTGAAAAACTACAAATGCCTTGAATAATAAATTCAGTGTAATAATTTCTTATAATTTTTTTAAAAGAAGTCTTATTTTTGTTATTTTTAAAGTGTTTCAAAAAGTCTTGACCTATTTATTTTGGACACAATTTATATTTTTTTTTCAATTTTCTAAAACTTACTCAGACAATAACTTTATATAAATAGATAAATTAGGATATTACATATGTTTGAGTTTACAGCCATTTATATCAAGTTCATTTTTTATGTTTGAAAAAAATAATGTTAAAAATTGGAAGTACATAGCATTCATTAAAACGAACTTTTTTTTTAGATATTGCAAAATCTTGGAAAAGCAGATCGAACGACAGATGATATTTTGAACCTATATATGAGCAATTTCAACAAACAGCACGTGAGTAATTATTTAATATATTAAATATATATACTCTAGAAATTAATACAATGGATAATTAAAAATCTATAGCTAGCAGCCCAAAGATATCCTAATAATAATTATATTAATCTTTTATAATTAATACTCTTAGAATAGATAAACTAGATTTTCAATGTTATTTAATTTAATTAGTTTAAAAGTTGATAATTTGTTATATTTCAAAAACTCTGCGACGATTCATTTGTGAGTAATTTAAAGGTACTTTTAATAAAAAAAAATTAATTCATTATGCAATAATTTTTAGCAGCTCACAAGTATTTAAATATTTTTTTTCAACTCAAAATCAATATTTAAATTAAACTTCGATTAAAAGCTAATGTTATCTTCAAAAAAGATTCAAAAAAAGTATACACGTAAATAATCTTGAAAAAGCATTAGTAAATTTTTTAAATTAATTTGTGTTGTTTAATTTAAAAATTAAACTACAATTTAAAAGAAATAATTTAGCTCAGTGCTTAAATTACATAATAATTTTTTTCCGTTTTTAATTGAACTGAGGAAAGATTTTTACAGTTGAGATATTCTGAAATAAATATCGCTTTGAGAGTTTATTAAAATTTTAAAAAATTTAGATTTAGTAATTTAATAACTAAACTGCCTTTTTTAGGAAAATTACATTCTCATAATATAATTAAGGATCTTCATCAGACAGTGAAATTTGTTTAGCAAACATAAAACCTCTCTGAAATGTTATGGGGATTTTTAATGGGGATTATGGGGACTTTTAATTTGTAAATGTTCAATTATTTGATAATATTTTAAAGAAAAAAAAACTATGAATAAAATAAATGAAATTATTTTATTTTGAAATGAAAATAATTTGCTTCTGTAGCAACATTGTTTCGTGAAGAACAATTTAACTAGCATTCATTTTATAATTGAGTAGATATTTTTAAAAATTTCTAAGCTCAAAATTCATCATTACTGTTCAAAAAAAGTAGATAAATAATAAGAAACTGTAGCATTATTTTTGAAGAATTATTTTCAATAACAATAGATAAACTGCAAATTTTAAAACAGATACAATTTTCCAATGTCAGATGACATAAACAGATAAGATTAAAACAAAAACATCTTAAAAACAACTTTGACAGTATTAGTTATGATCGAGCTTGTCGGATTCACACAATGGTCAAACGTTACTATTTTTTCTATTGACATTTTTATTGACCATGAATAACAATCAAAAAAGACTTCTGCATTTATTTATAAATGACTTTCGTTTTGAAAGATTTTTACTTCCTGTAAAAACTACATGTGTGGAGGGTCATTTTAATGTCAACATAAATTCTTTCAAGAACATATATTTTTCGTAAACTTTGCACCCAAAATAATTCAATATTTCAAGCGGACAACAGCTGTCTAAATTCTTTAGGGAAGGCATTGCCGAAAGAATTTAGATTGCTATAGCCTGTTTGACTATATTTTAAAGCATAAAATTAAAAATCAAGCATTTTATTTCCTGTGAAGAATATGTAGGTGAAGGGGTATTCTAATGTCAACATAATGCAACAATAACAACACAAATTAAACTCTCTTGTTAAATTATTTAGGTAAAACACTTCTTTGAGAATGCCTTGTCTAAGGAATTTAAACTATGACGCCTCGTTTGACTGTATTTTAAATTATATAATCAAGTATCAAAAATTTTACTGCTTGTAAATCTAGACTTGTCAAAGGCTATGGTTATGTCTTTATAAATGTTTTAATAAATTTATTTAATTCTATTAAATTATTTAAGCAAAATACTTCTTTGGAATTGTCTTATATAAAGAATTTAAATTGTGACGCCTCGTTTTAGTGTTTTTAATTTATACAATCAAATATCAAAACTTTTACTGCCTTTAATTATTAGAATTGTTAAGAGTTATGTTATCATTATAAATGCTTCAATAAATTCATTTTATTTTTGTTAACTTATTTAGGCAAAACACTTCTTTAGAAATGAGTAGTCTAAAGAATTTATACCGATTTGTTCATTTGTCACGCAGTCTTTTAATTAACAACACGCAATTTTTTAATATCATGCCTAATAAGAAGTCCAGCTTTATGATATTTTTAAGAAAATAATCAACATTGAAAAAGTGTTGTGTAAAATAAAGGTGCTTATAGTCTTCGAATAATAAATTATGATAATAAATTGCAAAAGATTCAAAGCATGTAGAAGACATTCAAAAACATATTAATGGCTTGGGGCTATATAGTGATAAACTAAAATCTTTTGAAAGAGATTTTTTTGCATCGAATCTTATCTAAATATTATTTCTATGTTGATAGTTCATAATATGACGGAACTTCTACTAAATAACAGGTAAATGTATGAAAAAATCTTATTTTTTAGATGGAAATCGCGGTGTCTTTCACCGAAAACAATCTTAAGAAACACTGTCTAGTGCAATTTAAAAATGTGACTTATAATTACAAAACAACATACCCGCGGACAATGAACTTTATTTCACATATAGCTAGTTTTAAATCCCTTTCTTCCATGTCTATAAAAGATATTTATTATAGTTTTCATTAACTTTCAAAGAAATTCATTACATTAACCTCTTCAAAATGCTGTGAGTAATACCGCCTTTTAAAAAGTTCACACAACATCTCGCCTCAAACAGATAATGAATAGTCACTATTGCATTCCGTACACCAGTTTATTCCGTCCCTGTCATTAATTTAAAATAAAAATGAAATAAATTACCGAATTCGATGGTCGGTGTGATTGTAGAACTATTTTATTTTCGAAACTCATATACTTGGTCATTAAACTTTAAAAAACTTAAAAACCATTCAATTTCATCGGCTACTGATGAAAAAGTTTGAACTTTAATTTCACAAAGTTCAAGCATATGAGAGTCCAACAATCATTTCCGGCTCTTTTTTAAAATCCCCGACTCTTTTAATTCACTTTTCATTCCTTTTCAATATTTTCCCGCTTCTTGAAGAATCACCCACTCAGTAATTATGCAGATTTTTGCCGCTAATGGTAATCGTAAGAACTATTTTCTCCAACAATTTTTGGTTTAATTTATATGAATCAAATGAAACTATTGCTTACTTTTCATTGTAATGATTTATACTTAATATAAAATTTAATTAATTAATTAAAAACTGTTTTATTTTCATTACATTTCTTAAATGTATATCTAAAAATTAACTTTTTTAATATCAAAATGCAAATTATGAATGATTCTTGATATATAGACAGACTACAGAAATTAAAGGATGTAGTAAAAAAGCAGATTTTTTAATCTTCCAATAAGTTAATTAATAGAGAATTTTAATGAGCAAGAAATTTAGATAAAAAATGGGTAGACGTATCTGTTAACAAGCGAATCACTAAATCATCAGTGAATTAGTGAATAATAGTTTATTCGAATAAATCCCTGAAAAGCACATTTTTTAATTGAACTTGATCTGCTACTCAATTTTTTCACAGCTACATTCCCCATATTATTATAAAATAGTTTTCAAAAAATATGCTATTAAAATGAAACTAATAAAACAAGTAAAAAGATTCCAAATATACCAGCTCAATCAGATAATATACATTCCTCAAAATTGATAGTTTTTAATTGGCTTTACAACCTTTTCTTCTTACTTTAATTTTCCTTAATTTAATGCATTGCATTGGAAAATATAACGAAACAATTTTCTGAAAAAAATAAATAAAAATGGAAGCAGATATTTTGAATTTTGCTTGGATTTACTTTTTAATTTGCATTATTTTTTAATCAATTATTAAAATCATATAAATTTTTCCAGTTTAATTTTTTAATCTTCTTAAATTTTTAATCTGTAATTTAAGTTAGAACTTAAATCTTTGAAAAAGATTTTTAAATATGATAAAAAAAAATAAGGATACATAATCTAAGATTGATTGAATTTATTTATTTTTGTAATCGACATCATTTAATAATTTAGTATTAAAGTTTCAACTTAAATCTTTGATAATAAATGCTTTCATAAAACAGAAATGAAACATGTTATATTAAACATGCTGTAATCCTCATCATCTTAAGTTAATAATATAATTTTATGTAAATTTATTCTTTAATTCATATTAAAATTCCGGTCTCTCTCTATATATATACATAT